TAATTGACAAATTTAAGTAATCTTATTAAAATGTGAAGATAGACATGGTTTTATATGCGGTCTCTATATTTGCTTGTAGGTGTCTGACTCCTTAAACTTTGACCAATGATATATTTTATGCACTTCAGAATATATATATATATATATATATGCATATATATATTTAATCACATAGCAATTGTGACTACTGTGGTTGTAATTCATGGAATTTGATTCAGCCAACCAGATCTAATGCAATTCTATCTGGAGTTAGAAAAAGGAAGAGAACTGATGCCATAATTAAGAGATTTTGAACATTGTAGTAGCTTTACGTAATTCCTAAACTAAAGAAGGAGAATGAAGATGGATTTGCATAATTGGAGCTTTTTCAGGAAATGTAAGCTTAATATTTTCTATTTTATTTAACCAAGAGGCTGATTGTTTTTATATACTTCCATATGCTAACATAGTTGCTTAAAAATCAGCGACACTCACACTCTTTCAAGGAAAGTAAAATAGTCAACCACTCAATATTACCCCAAGCTTCATGAGTACCAAGATTGATGAAATAAAACATCAAATGAGGAATACTTTTTAAATTATCCTCATTCAGATACAAAATCTTAAAATATAATCCCTGCAATGTATGAGAATGTGTTCAATGATTCAAATCTGCTTTCAATCAGCACGCATTTGGAGCATGGACTTTTCAAACAATTCTCAACAGTTAAGTACACTATAACATCCTGGTTGATTTGTTGTACTTAATATAAAAGTAAAGTAGTTGCTTTACCCGAATGTTTCATGCATAAACTTCAAAAACTTTGAATGGGCAGTTTATGCTTAATTGTCAAGCTTCATATTAACCACGATTACAAATAAAAATTTCTCTTATGAATTCACCAAGATATTTTATCCATCTCCCTCTTCCCTAGATGAACAGACTTCAGCACAGAAAATACCAGATCAACTCCATTTTCGCATTCTACTCAACCAACTCAGTAGACACCTCAATTACCAGATACAGCTGATACCCTAGCAAATTTGTAATCCAAGATAATCACTTTAAGAGATAGTACATTAATTCCAAAAACACTAAATTCAGATGCCTAAAACAGTTGAGTTGCTATTATTGGATGGAATAAACAGTTACACAGTCAACCATAAATAACCAATGACCATGTTTAGTGTAATACCTACAAAATCATCCAAGATATTTAGAACATTGAAAACATTCTATGTAAACTATTCTAATATGGAAACAGTTGTAATATACACATTTTATGTGGATTTTTGCATGGTCTAAAGTAGCCTACCACCAGGCATCATATCTTAATAGATCGAGACTCCCAAATCCATTTTCCATTTTCCATTTTCATTCTCAACTCATGAACTATAAAATCCACATTATAAGTTGAAACCCACTTCTAAGTTTGCATTAATTGACATCTGACAGAAGCTGTAGGGAGGATAAACTTCATCAACTCAACTCAAGTAACACAATTCTTTGCCTTCTTAGTTGCCCTTCACTGAAAGATATCATTCATCAGAGACCCCTATACTTCTAGAGCTAACAGTGCATCAGTCAATTACAAATACTAAATAAAATTCCTCAAAAAAACATATATCTTAACATAGAAGGAATGACCTGCAGGTACTCAATCCAAGTACGTGCAGGTGAGTAAAATAGATTTCTCTATCTAAAACAGTATTGTTGTCAATCAGCTTGGTTTGATTACCAGCATCTAACTACACACTAGACGTCAGATGTCAATCATCTTGATTTGAATTACCAGAATTTTACTACAGACTAGACATCAGCAGATATACTGCTTCTAATTAATTTATGTGAAAAAATGAAAAAAAAAAAACATAAAACATGATTCCCAAATAAAGGATCTAAATCAATTAATGACAGCTTGGCAGGCTTTTCCATTCCAGCACCTGATCTTGCCTACAAAGAAATTGCCCTAGTAGCTCCGGATCTGAGCAGCTATCACTTAAACTTTTAACATGATCAACTTCCTCAGTAAAGCTAACATACTAAACTTCAGGATACAACCAGGGGATCATTAAGCATTCTATAATTCGAAGAAGTTAGAGAATACAAAAGGGTTGGAAGAAAACGAATTTGAAACCACAAAGAGTGGCACGAAATGAAATTTCATCACTCAAAATTCTGAAAATTGAGGTTTATCTGAATATTGAAATCTTTATTGCAAATTAAAAAAAGATTCTTGGTTTCATTCCTATTCCAAAATAGGGACAGTCAACTTTTCCCTGCGCTGCTACCTTGTTCTTTTTTCCCCAAACTCCCTCCACTCATCCTCTCTTCTCCTCCCTCTCCTTCATCAATCCTCTATACACATATGAGAAGAAAAGAATAAAGTAGAAGAGCAGCCACACAAGCAGACCACCTGTCGTGCCTCCTTCAGCATCTTTCACTCCCAATCATTCAATATCAAACCAGGACGGCAATGGTGCCTTCTTTTATTTGCTGTGTAAGCCAAATCCGAACAGCTCAGAAAAGGAATGATAAAGATGTTAAACTAGATTGCAGGCAGAATATTTTTGGTGTTGAGGGTCAGGCCGTCTGGCCGTCCTCAAGGCCTTCAAATTCACATAATTCCCAAAACCTTTACCTAAAATGCATCGATGTCCTAAATTCTAAAGACAATGCTCCTTGACCAAAATATGATTCTAAACTACAACTTCAGCCTTTATATCTCTCGATCTACATGTAATCAAAAGATTGTTAAGGTAATAATGATAAACTTCAGCTGAATTTTCCTAATCATAACCACAACTCCAATCATTCCAAGATCAGATTTTGTGAATACCATTCAATCTCTCAGCTGAAACCCCCAAAGGTTCATACAAACACATGACAATTCAACACAACCTATGGTCAAAGCAAGAATCTGTTCCCCTTAAATCCCACGTGTTTCTTGTTGCATCAGCCAAAATTCACACAAAAAATTCAGTAAAAACATAAAAGCGCGTACAGATTTTCAGATGGAACAGATTTTACCTTCAACAGAAGCTGATGCTTTGATGGACAAGAAACGCTTTTTGCGATTGACAAAAAGGGGTGACGAAGATCTTGGAAAGGAGATTGATGCAGTAGAAGCTTGAGGTGGAAAAGGGTTGCTCGAATTCGAACTACTAGTCCTCGTTACAAGCCTGCAAATCGGATCACATGTCCAGGCAGAAGCAGCAGCCGAGGAGAAAGCCATTTTTGAGGTTTTTGAGAAGTAGAAACTCAGGAATGGAAAAAAAGAAACATTACGGCTTCTTCTTACTGGAGTACTATTTTTTACATTTTTATTTTTATTTTTTTTTAGTTTAGTAGTTCGGAATAAATCACGCGGGGCACGTGGCAGTTTATTTTTCAGATATTTGTTTTTAATTTTTGAGGCCTGTATTTGTAGAACGAGGGGATATTTTTATTTTCTTCTACATCATAAATTCATAGTCATTAGTATTCATCTTGTTACTTCTGCCCCTTCTATTTTTCAAAATCTTTCTATGAAATAAGTTTCCAAATTTTTAATTTTTTAAGTCATTGGAATTAGTAGTATTAAAGAAAAAATGGGCAATCAATTATTATTACAGGCTTTATATCAAGAGAGGCTTTAAGAAACAAAACATATAAATGCACATATTAGATAAGTTTTGACTATTGATAAGATAATTAAAAGCCCCGAATTACTCTTAAATATGCATTAATGATGTTTTCTTGATGTTGCTTAATATTTGTTGTCATGAAGGCTATCAAAAATATTTCCTTGTTAATTCTTTTTGGGGTCAATAATAAGACAATTAACTCACAAAAGGCGAGATTAACCCCGCACTATATAATATTCTAAAATGTCATTATAGAAAATTAGTTGGGATATAAAGGCCGAATTAAGTTATGATTGGTGTAAGTGTAGTTAAATTTTACCCTTTAAATTCTTTGAAATCGAATTTGTTCCCCTTAATTACATGTTGGAGTTTCCAAAAATAGTTTACAGAATTAACTTCTATTGAGTCTAAATCTTGAATTTTAAGTCTAACAATCTATGTCACCCCCCTTTTGAAAAGAGACATTGCACTTGCCTATATATATATATATATATATATATATATATATATATATATATATATATATATATATATATATATTTTATGTTTTTCCTGAGATGACTTGACAACATTAGAATTGTCAGTTTTCAACTGGTTTTGCTATTGGATAATCATATTTTCGACTAGCTTCTTACTACGAAGCTATTCGATCCCGTTTGGTTTGCTATTTTCTGGAGTTATTAGAGAAAAATATATTGTAATGATTTGATATATATGAGTTAAAATAATGATTGAGAAATGTACTTACAGAAAAAGTAAAAATTTTGTGGTAGAAAACTACAATCATTTTTAACAGCTAATCAACAAATTTGTCTGTTTGAGCCTAGAGGGGATAATTTGTGCATAACAAATAAGCCAGAGAACCAAGTTAGCAAGTCATGTGCATCCTCATTCCAGATTTGGAGTCACTTGAGGACTTTGTATGCCATCCATGATGTTTTATTGATTAATCCTAAGGGTCATTTAATTTTTCCCCTGTCTGACAATTACTTTCTCAAAAACTTCTATTCATTAGTCCATCAATTATTCCACTACTAGAGCCAATAACTGATTATTAATAGCATCTTACTCAACTACTTATCCTGCATAAACTTGTAATGAAACATTTAAGCACCAATAACAGCCAAATAGCATCTAATGAGTCAATGATATGGTGCTTTAAATCTGGATACTCATTTGTCTTATTCATATAGGCAGTAAAGGTGTCATCATTCATTGTATTTGTTTTTCTTTCTCATCTATTGATCATTAAGTTCTGTCATTCTCATCATGTCATTCATGACTTCATAACCATAGGACCATGTTTACAGTTACTACAGAAAAACAAAAATGGTCCTGAAAAAGACAAAGCAGCAAAATGAGGGGACAAGACAGGACAGGCTTACAAATGAAGCTGTTATCAGATTATGATGAAGAATAATGAGATATCTTATTCATGGTTCAACAATTGTTGTTGAATTCATCTCCCAGAATTTTGAAGTAGAGATATCACAATGGACATTTCCTAAGAAGTCATGCGCCCTGCAATTGTATGCAAGTACCTAGATGGCAAAACTTGGCTGAATTCTTTAAGAATTGTACAACAACTTTGGACTTCTTTGCTACTACAAAACATTTTTGTAGTCAGCATTTGGCTGGCTAGGTTGAACTGATAAAGAAAACAAGAGAGTGTTGTACAGAGATCATGAAACACCAAAGAATGAAGTAATAAACTGTAATGTCATCAACTGGACTGATCAATGTTGGCTAGCAAAGTTAGCATGCACATCCTCCCCTCTGCTGCTCAACTCCTGAAAGGGATTCTGGTATTCTTTGGAGGTCACTGCAAAAAATGACCAGTGCATCAAATGCCTTGTGAGACAAATAAGTTGAACAAGTCCTCCTTTGTTAGTTCTAAGAGATAAAGAAAGGAGCTGGATAAGTAGGATAAAGAAGAGCATTTCATATTTGTGCAAAATTATGAAAACTTTATGATAAGAAGACTTGTTATAATGCATGGAAGTGTATGACTTGTAGAATTTTACAATGTTATCAGTGATCAGAGCACTGCGCAACTTGAATCATCATTGTCTTGATGGCCATTCAGTGGTTCTAATATTTCAGGCTAATATCATGGGATTGGTATATATCTAGTAGCTGTGGAATTTAAAATGTACATGCTGCAAAGATTATGGATTAGGCTGAAGTAGTACAAAATTTGATACACTCACCAGTAAGATGGTATCTCTTGATCTGGCCAACTAAAACAAAAGAAATTGTGACAATTCAAAAGCAAAAGAAATGTGAATTTAGTGAAAAAAAAATCAAGGAATAAAAGTTACAGAACTTTGCAGTAGATGCATAAAAAAAAGTTTCATAAGGCTGGATACACAATGGAAAGAATACGTCAGATTATACTTACATGTCCTGCCCATCGTCATGTTCATATGCAAGAGCAATTCTAGCAATGGAAGTGAATGCATGATCAACATTGTAATCTTCTTTAGCTGAGGTTTCATAATAAGGTATATTTCCTCTGGAAGCACACCAGTCCTTAACAGTCATCTCAGGTACCTGCAGTTGTGGATGATCTACAGACTCAAACTGGCAGCAAAGTTTTTCATTTTTCTCTTGAATTTCTTATTGAATTTGTTTTCTTACCGCTTGGCTCCTCCCATAATTCACATCGACCTTGTTTCCAATCAACACAAAAGGAAAGGACTCAGGATTGACAGGATCTGCCTGTAGCCACGTAAAGAGAAAATTGTTGACAAAAAGAGATTAAACTGGAAGAGCTGGACTGCGTTTGTCTAAGAATTAATGGTACCAGAAATTACCTCAATACCTTCTAAAAGACAAAGTAACAACTGGTCAAGCAGAAGGATTCCAAAAAAGTTGATCTTACATAACATAATGCACAAAAAAATGATGAACAGACTTTATTCTCTTTAAATCTTGCAATTAAGTAACATAAAGTTAGCCAGTATCTTGGACAAAGTTTTGTGGTCTGGCCCAAAAAAGAAATAAAAGGTAGCGTGAGAATCACAGCAGATCCTTTTGGTTTTGTGTTCTGCATAATACATGGAGTCCACATTAACACAAATTCTTGGATCATTCTAGCAATTAGTGCCAGTTAACGACTTAACATGTCATCTCCATTTCGATTAACAAGGTTAAAGAATGTCCCTCAAACATAACCAAAACCAAAATGGAGAATTTCATGCTGATGCAGGATCCTGAAAGGGGAAGGTTACACAGTCATACATTTGCATACTGAAAAAAAAAAAATTCTCAACAACAGATTTCCGGATTCATCGATCACCTGCTTGAGAAACTCTTCATGCCAATTTTGAAGGGTTTCAAAAGATCTGAGTAGATTGACATCAAACACGAGTACGCAACAATCTGCTCCCCTGTAAAATGCAGCACCAAGGCTGTGAAATCTTTCTTGTCCTGCTGTATCCCATATCTGTTCAAATTTCGACTTTTAGCCTAACAGATTCTCCAAAAGTTCATCTCAGAAAAACAAGGGAGCTGGTTTGAATAATCACTCACTTGCAAGGTAACTAGTTTGTCATCAATCTGTATCTCTTTGGTGGAAAAATCAGCACCAATTGTTGCTTTGTATTGATGTGTGAACTTTTTATGTACATATCTATTACAGTAGTTAACGAAACCACTAGTTGAATGTAAAGATCCGGCCTAAATGAACGCATACAAGAAGTTAAAAATTTTTCTTAGAAACTTAAAATGGCAATGCCTTCGTATCCTATAGCAATTTGTTGCATAGTTCAACAATTACATTTTGTTTCAATGCACGATATATTGAAAAAAAAAAAAAAAAGAGCATATGGTTCATTAGGATGCAAAATTAGGGCAAATGAATAGTCATTAGTTGACTGACATGATCAAGTTGTTGAAGGTAATACTAGTGATGAAAATAACTGACAACTGATAGAAAACAGAAGCAATTTTTGCAAAGGTTTAGTCAATTCAGAATTTTGTCAAGTAATAGCAATGCATATATCCAAAGCAGTTGTTATTGACAACTAATACAAACATGCATGATGGACAAGAAACTTCTCGTACTGCCTATTGAACTTATGATAACAAGGATACTGATTCATCAAAGATGTCTTTCCCACCCTGAAAGTTCGATAACAAAAGCTCACACATTAGACCAGAAACAAGCTTGAAGTTACAATATTTGCTTTTGACTTGAAAAAAGTTCTAAAAATGGACCAAAAAAAGAAAAACAAGATTAGGGGAAAATAAAAGATCAGACAGAAAACAAAATAGAGAAAGTTTAAATTATTTACCCGCTATCCCCGATAACGATAATCTTAAGCAAACTCCTTTTCAGGATGGACATAGCAGTGTTTTTTAAAGTCTTTTGAGTGTCTGAGGACTTTGTATGTTGCTGGCTTTGCTTTTCTGTTGTTTCCAAAGAATTAGACAAAAAAATTTGGATAAGCTATCAAAGTACAAATAGTTCAAGAACAAAAAAGGCAGCCACTTTCTGCAACTTCACAAGCTTCTTGTTGACAGTACCTGCTTTTTTCTCATCATCTGTAGGTAGGGCGGTCATGCATGTGAATTTCATTAAGCATGTCAAATCTTCTACCTGCCAGCAGAGCTAGATTTTTGAGTGTCATGTGAAACGAATAGGTTCTCTTCTTGATTGTTTGATGAAGAATCGTGCATCCCATGATTCAACCTTTTATGCTTTTGTTTGGGGGAAAATATAGATCTTCTTGGTTCAATTATTTGAATGGTTGTTCATTGGTAAATGACATTGGCAAATGACTTCTCAGAACTGTTGTTTAATCATTTTGAGTTTGTAATGGTTGCCATGTCTTTTCCTGTTCTTGGCACAAATTCTCTATTTTAATCATGGGTCCAACCATCATTCTTGAATATTCTTTGCCTGCCTTGGCTTAAATCAAGTTCATGTGATAAAAGAGTACCACTAACTTATTGATAACTTGCGAGAATATTTTGGAACTTTTGAAGTGATTAGAAAATTCAAAACCACGAAAATAATGAAAAAGATTTTCTGTTTGCTCCCATAGAAAGCTATCTGTACTCAAAGTTAATTGTCTCAGTGTCGCATATATATCAATTATGTTGAACAGAACAATTGTCAAAACATGCTGTTTGATGATTTAGATACATGAAAAAGAACTAACTTAAAGCTTGAATTTAATGTCAAAATTACTCTAAGAAACTTCACATGTATCTGGATTCATTCTCTAGATAGATATGCCATATTACCTTATGGAATATCTTTTACTCCTGCACTACGAGATATACGACTTAAACGACAAAAACAAAATAAGGGATGACACACCTCATTGATTGATTTTGAAAATTCCATATTTATATCTGTCATCTTAGGAAGTGTGATGGTTTTAAGTCTGTTTTTCGTAGGTTGACTCATAACTTATATGAATATATTGCAATACAAAGATTTGTACCAAGTAAAACTAGGCTACATTTCATATAAGCTGTTGAGGATTGCTTGCATAAACTTTTGCATCTCTCGAAGGTCAGCATTCTTTTTCACCAACACCGGAACTCCAGTGTGTGATTGGAAAGTTCATCAGGTTATAAATATGCTTCCCTTGCCTGTTCATATGTGCAAGTCAAAGTATAGGAAATTGATTGACTAGTTATCTGCAGAGGAAATCAAGCGGCATTCAGGAAAATTATGGTCCCTCCACGTCGGTTGGATGCGGGTTCCTTAGTCTGGGTTTAAGGTCCATAGGACCCTCGTCCAGTTACCCATTGGCTGGACGTGGGTTTCTTGTGGATCCCCTTAGATTACTCTTAATGGGTCGTTTAGCCGCTGACTCCATGAGTGTTTCTAATCTAATTGGATGCTTTTTGATTCTTCAATCAAATGCTGGGCTTTCAACTTTTTATGTTTCCCTTGTAGAGACATCCTTGTCCCATTTCTGATGTTATGAAGATCCTTTACCAGATGGGCTATTCAAGAAATGAACAAAAATGGAGTGAACCATAAAAAATTCTAAAGCATCTGTACATTATTTGTGTTGGCCAACATGATTGCTGATTCTTTTGGCTTAGATCAGATTGCTTTAGGGTCAAGTATTAGATTAAATTAAAAGTTTGTGAATATAGAAGTCCCCTGAGACTTTAAGCACAAAAAAAAAAAAAAAAAAATTAGAAGAGATGAATTTAGATTCCAAAGGGTCACCAATAAGTTACTAATATATTTCTTAGGTGTCATTGGAAAATATTCCAAATAGATTTAGTGTATCAACTTAGTATATCCATCACATCACGCTAAGTGACACAAAGTAGTGTATAACTTCAATCAACTAAAAGTTTGTAGTTTAAAACTTAGGACGCTTAATACTACTTTTGTATAATTTCGTAAACAAAACTTTTTTTGAGGATGTTTTCGATGATTGCGTGTATTTCAAAGAATTATCTTAAAACTTTTGTTCGGTAACTTTTATTGAAATTTTTACCTTGAAAGCTATCCATCTATATACATTTTTACTTTCATAAACTTATTGAACAAATTTTTTAAAGTGTAAAACCAATTTTTATAGATAATTGTAAGTTATTACAGTGTGTTTGGATTGTCAATTATTTCACTTTATTTACGCCTTATTTACACACATTGATTTGCTTACATCATCAATATATTTTTCAATCACCTTTCTATCTCACATACATCATATCAAAAAAGTGCTACAGTACTTTTTCACAAAATTATCTCAAATAATTTACAATCCAAACACGTTTTTTAAAATTTGTACACATATAAAATGTGCCTTGATATTTAGTTTTCAAGTAAAATGCCTTCACACGCACGAGAAGTGTGGCCAGCACTCACATGAGGTCCAATAGACACGGGGTCGTTGAATCTAGGTAGTCACATTTGATTGTGCTGCAAAAGCCTCAAGTTTGATTGTTCGATCCCCTTGAATAAGTCTACACGGCTCATTTGAGATTTAATTGGTGTCAATTTCAACATAGTCCTTAGCCCAAAAACCATTCAGTCAAGATTGTATCAACTTGAGGTCCCAAGTCAGATGGACTGCAGACGGCAAGGCCCTTTCTACCCTTAATTCTTTTTTTTTGTTTTTTTTTTTTTAAGATTACGACAAACAACAATAGCACTTATATATTTTTGAGTGAATGGCCAAAAAGCTATTAAACTATTTATTATGGTCGAATTAGTCATTAAACTTTTTTTTTTTTGACCTTAAAGGCCATTAAATTGGCAAAAACGTGCTAATGAGGTCATTTTGTCAAATTCTACAGGTAAAAGATCAGTTTGCCAAAAAGGTTATTGTCTAGTAGAATTTGACAAAAATTGCCTCAGTGGACCCTTTTTGCCAATTTAGTGACATTTGTGTTTACCAATAAATGTTTAATTACTGATCCATGCCATACTTAATAGTTTTGTGACCTTTTTGATCATTCATTTTATATTTTTATATGAGTCAATTTTATATACACTAACAGTGTATACACTATCATCGTTAGATGAATGTCACATAAGAAAAATTTCAATTTGAAATTCAAATTTAACATATGGGGCATTCATCTAAACATGACAGTGTATACACTGTCAATATATAGAAAATTAATCCTTTTTATATTGAAAACTCCAATTCGTTCATGCAGAATTGGAAGAGATAACCTACCTTTAAACCATACAAGTGCACTATTGCGCGTTCTAAAATTTTCACGAATCTACAAAACACTGCTTCTCTTGCAAACAAACGCCTGAACAACCTTGAACTCCCGACTTGATACTGGCTGGGATTATAAGAGACCCCTCTTTAGCCTTTGTGACAAAGTCCAATCTTGACCTTTTGATTAAGTGAACATGAGGTTTTTATTCAACTCTTAAATTTCTCCTTTTCTCATCTAAAAGTTCAAAGTCTATATTGAACCTTGAAGAAACATAGACAGAAAAAAAACCTCCACTTGGATTGACAATTGAGTTATCTGAGGGCATATAATATCATTCTATATGGTTCACTTTTGGAACCCTACCCAAGAGATTTTTGGGTTTCCACAAACAGGAAATAATGGATAAGTCTACCAAGTTATTTTTGTCAAGGTTTAGTCAAGATATGCAGCAGCCTAAAAAAGATATGCAGCAGCCTCAAAACCTTTCTGTCTTCCTCACTTCTCAGCTCTTTCTCAACTCACATCAGTTATTAGGCTTTCCACTTCCCATTTTCTACTTACTTTTGGCATGATGTGGCTAGCACCTTTACAGTTTGCAGAATTTTGGTTTGCAATCATTTCCTACTCTTTTACTCAACGCTTTCTTGACTATATTACTGCAATATTTAAAGCAAAGGCCACATATTAATATATCTTCAGAGTAGGCCTTGTTTGGATTGCCGGTTTCCGTCGAAAAATTACGTCGTTTTCCGTGATCATATTTCCCTATTACCTTTTTCCCTCACATACATCAAATCGCTACAGTAATTTTTTCATGAAAAATCACGGAAAATGCAATCCAAACACAAAAATTTCTTGATTTTCCCAGCTTGACAAGCCCAATTTGGAACGTGCCATAAACTAAAAGACTGCCAAAAATTTACTAGTTTACAAAGCAGAACTTTTGATCGAACAACTTGCTGCAGTCCTTAATTTGTTTTTGTTTTTTTGCTAGTATTATGTTATTAAAATCAGAAATCAATGGCAATTATTTAGTCTAAAAATCATTTACCATTCGAACGGCCAGTAATATTTATGTTAATCTAAGTGATCTTCAATTGCAACAATACAAATATAGGGATTCTCTAAAACTAATATTACACATACTAGTACTAGCAGGGCAATGACTGTATGTGCAATTTAGAAATTTTTTTTTTTTTGGTGTTCGTTGCTAACTAAGGTAAAATTATGATCTTTAATTTAATGAGTTAATCCTTAATGCATGCTATTCTATTAAAATAGTGGTTACCTTGTTAGTTTTAATCATTTATTCAACTCTAGTGCACAAAAAAGAAATATTTCTTGTGAAAATGAAAGAGTGGACATTAGAAAATTATTGGTCCTTCCTTGACAGTTTTTTTGAGAAGGACATTTCTTAAGAGCAATAATGAAAATCTAAGAAGTGACACAAAATTTTGCCACCTCACCAACACAGCTTGTGAAAACCCTCAAACGTGACAAATCAGGATTTGCAGACCACCTCTATTCAGATGGCAGGTGGGCCATTGGTGCCCTAGCTTCGAAGGTGCTTCCAAAGTCCATTGAAGAAAAATGGTAGCCGGAAGTCACGGTTACCTTAGCTGATTTTGTCACTCAAAGTTGGAGATAATTGTTGGTGATATTTTGATGTCTTGGTTTAGGTAATTTTTTACATTCTCTGCACCAAGTCAATCTGCATCACTATATATTCTGCCTCTTAAGTCTTCCTCACCCATGCTATGCTTGGCTTGGGGCAGCGTAGCATAGTAGCAGAATAAAAAAAACCTTCTCATATCTCGCGATAATTGTAATCTCCTGAGAAAATTGATGATTGGTTTCTGTACTGTTACCTCCTTTATCAGTGGGCGGTCATTTAGGGTCTTAACCGGCGATTCGCACTGTTCTCCTCTTGATGATGATGTTTTGCCTCCATTTCATAAAGTATTCGACCCGATTTAAATTTTAACGACAGTTACTCAATAAAGTATTGTTAAACTATCCAAATTCAGAAACACAATCGGTTTGATGACGGTAAGTAACTCAATTGAACATTATTTTGCAGCTTGATTATTGTGTGAGATTGACAAAGTCCAAACAACTGCATAAATTGTGGCAAAACAAAAAATTTCTTGATCAAATTAATGGTTAGTATTGTTAATCAAATTTGATCTTTTGCCTATAACTTATTATATTACAATAAAATGACTGAGATTGATTTCCTAAAGAAGTTCCAAAATTTTGCTTGGATTGCTTGTTTCCGTCGAAAAATATTGTCGTTTTCCGTGATCACATTTCCCTATCACCTTTTTCCCTTACATATATCAAATCGCTACAGTAATTTTTTCATGAAAAATGACGGAAAATGCAATCCAAACACAACCTTAGTTTTTTCTAATCTCTAAATGGAGAGAGTCCTGACAAATCATTCACATCTTTCGTAGAAGACCCCAGGTCAGCTATATGACATCATCCCATAGACATATATGATCCACTGCTTGTCAACCGCGCAATAAAATTAGCACCTTCATCCTATCCCCCCAGGAATGTGTATACGAAGCTGCAACATGGAAAATCAAGCCAGGAAAATTCTTAGCAGGCGCAGCAATAAGGACTAATTCAACTTTTGGACCCTTCAAGTTTTTATTCATTCACGTTTTGTCTCTTCAGCGTTTATTTAGAGTACATTGCACCTTTAACATAACAACAACTACTACTATTACATTGTAATTTTGAATTTTCATTCTACACAAAAATTATCAATTGATTTCAAACTGCCCTCATCTCACGCATTATTATTTATTACTGATGATATATAAATTACGTGTGCTTTTATGTCACGACACTTTTTGTTTCTAATGCTGAAAGCGAGCAATAATCTTTGATAATTACAAAATGAAACCGAGTAACACTGGATGTTTTTATCTATTGCCATCAACAATATAAGCCTTTGAGGGCGATTTGGAACTCGAATTTTAGAACCAACAAACAAGTTGGCCATCAAAAGGGATTTAAAAACCCTCTTTAACTTGTAGGTCGGTGGTTCAAATCTGAAGAGCGTGCTACAACACCCCTTTGATCTAAATAGGTCCGTTTTTCCTCTAAACCCTTATATAATCCAGTTAGATTTCCCCTCCCATATAGAATAAGATATTTAGTGTAGATGTTGTCAATTGACAAAAAAATAAATAAATAAAGGAACCCTTATTTTAGTAAGTATAGAATGCTAATTACACAAGATAAAAGTATTGGGTGCTAGGTGGAAATTGCAAAAGACATTAGGGAGTGCAAACTTAAATTAGCCCAAGCTGTAGAATATTACTACTTGTAGCATTCACTATTTGAAGCAACACAAGGAGCAAGCTGGCTAGTCATCGTCCCCCAATCACCCATCCCCAGGTCTTCATACCAGCAAGACTTTTTCTCTTCTAGTCTACACTAAAACACTTTTCTCTTCTCAGTTCAAGAAATGGATGCTTCCCTCTGTATGTTTCCTAACCCTAACCCTACTGCAGGAGTCATGCCTGATATTTCACAACATGTCGATCATCATCAACATCATCAGACTTCATCGGAGTTCCAATTTTCTGATTATTTCATGATGCAAGATTATTACAGCTTCGATCAGGATGCTCATTTAGCTTCTCAAAATACGGTCGACCAATACCAGCAAAATGTTACCAGCAATATCACGGTTGAATCCAATCATCCTTCTGCAACAGCTAGCAACATGCAAGTCATCTTATCCCTCTGCAGATAACAAGAAGTCCATAGATACGACCGCCCCATTTGTCAAGATCCCAGTTTATTTTATTTTATTCTATTCCATTTTTTGAGTTTTTCATGTCGTTCTGCTGCAAGTAACATATACTATGATTAACAGGATGAATATTGAAAATCTGTTGCTCAGAAATATGATTTTTTTTTTTTTTTTTTTGTATTTTCTTTAGGAAACAGAAAAGCGGAATAACGAAGAAAAGGGCAGTGGACATGGGGCGTAAAGTTGCATTTCGAACTAAATCGAAGCTGGATGTCATGGATGACGGCTACAAATGGAGGAAATATGGGAAAAAGATGGTCAAGAACAGCCCAAATCCAAGGTAAATGGTACCCTAAATCTATGTGTATATGTGTTTTTTCAAAATTAAAATACTTTTTTCTTCCATCATTCTTCTTGTGCATTAGTAATTTAAGGCCATGCTTATCAATTTGTTAATAATAGACGTCATTTCATAGAACATAAACCAAATCAAACACCAGATCTACTTAAGCTTGTCAAATAATCTAAACAAGTTTGTTTATCGTGTTTTTAACGTTGTTTTTTGTAGGTAATCTCCTAAATATATGTATTGGTAATATCAGCTAATCAGCTTTAGACGATTCTACAAAATCAAAGATTAATTCCTTTTTAATCCCCGACTCTACGCCAGGTGCAATTGGTATTGATAGAGATGCAGTAGTTATAAATATAGAAGAGATTTAGCCCATGTCTTGAATTGATTAAGCCGTGTAAGAACAAGATATGCATATAGAGCGGTAAAACTAAATCTATATTGTGCAAAGTTGTTTTTAATCAGGTGATTTCGTCCCCTCTCGTTGCTTCCATGCATACTCACTGATCATGGTGATATACAATCCAACAAAAAAGTCGACAAAGATTTCATAAAATGTCCATGCATATTAAGAAACACCAAACAACAAGAGGATTGTCATGGCATAAATTCTACTATTGTTGGATTTAATCATATTTCTTTTGACCCCAAAAGCATAATTTGAGAGAAGGAAGTAATTGACCTCAGCTTATTTTGATGTGATGAACCAGATGCACAATGCTGATGATCTCAAGTGTTTTCCTCAAGAACTGGAAATGAATTATTTCTCTATGTAACTTTGTTGATTTATACCATATATAGCGTAACTTTCGTCGGACCTACACATCAAACACCACATGCCTTAGAAAGAATATGTAATACAAGTTGAAGTAATCATATGTACCCTTTTCCCTTTCTTTCTTTTCATTCTTTTTGTGCAGAATGGATGGGAACTTTTTGGAAATAACAAGTTGAAATTTCAAAAAAAAAAAAAGAATGGTCTCATCTCTTCTATGATTAATCTCGGCTTAAAGAGCTTTTCTTTCATTCAATCATAAAGAAGAATTGTTTAGTCTCACTTAAATTCCTGCAACAAACCTTTTCTTTTCGTTTTTGAGATATCATATACCTCACTAGTAACATCTTAGTGTAATCTGAATCTATTGAGATTTTCCTTAAAAGATTAATATTCAACCCTTAATATGATCTATGAGCTAGGCAAGTATTAACTAAGTTGATAAAATTTTGCTACACTCAGTGCAAACGAGTTATACCATACTAGTTTCCTCCCATGTAATTAAATATGACATTAATATGAGGTTAAATTAAAGCATCAAATTTGAATATAATTTCAAACACTCTTAAAAGCCTATTGTCTTCACACATCTCAAAGCCTGTACGACATTTGAAAAATCATATCTAGAACATCTATTCATTGACAAACAAAGTTTTTATCTACCCATTTGTCCACATATAATCATTCTCAACATTATCAAGATTAGATTTCTTTGATCTGAAAACTTGATTTTTTTACTTTCTTATTTGTGCAAAACAAAGTACTTGGAATCGAATTAACGTATACTACTGAACATAAATGCATGTCCCATCCGTGAATGTAGATCATTGTTCTTTTAAACTTATTATGAGCCTCTCATTCTCTTGAAGGAATGAGAACCAAGTATTAATCCATGCAACATTTAGTGACGTAAATGAGATGACATCATAGGCCAGTTATGGATAAACATTGGGTGATTGCCATCCATCCCATCGAGTTCCTTCGTTTTCTTGTACAGTGGAGCAGCAAAACTTGCCGTAATGCGTGCAAGTTGTAGGTTATCTGAGTGGGTTATCTTGTACAGTGGCAGACAAATTCCGATCAAACTTTAGATGGACCATGGATGGGGGTTGGGGAATGTTGAAATCCACTAGGTTCCCAGGCTTCAGTTACCATGCTATTTGTGGTGCCTCTCCGATCACCGGCATAAGTTGTAGGTTATCTGAGTCAAAATTGACCCCAGCTGCCATGAATGACTGAGGAGCCTTTTAATGGTTTAGGTTGATGAAGTAAATTAGAGCCAATTATTTACCAAATAGATTTGGCTTCTTTTGCATAAGTTTGGGGATATTTTGGCTAATATATGTTAGAAGAACAAGTGCTCACTAAAGCTTGTTAAGAAGGGTTTGTTAAGAAGATTTTTACGTGTTAAATTCTTTAAAAAAGTAGGGCTAAATCAAGAAAGTGTCTAGAAGACAAAATCTGAGTTTGCGAGTCTACATAGTAAACTTAATGCAAATTAGATGTACTACTGACTAATGCCTAGTGGACATCTACTAGAAAGCCGTTAAAATAACTAGGTTTGACAAGGTAGGGAAGGATGGTTATGAACTTGATTTAGGACAGCTTTTGAATTGTTGAAAAGGGCTACTGTATATTTATGTCGCAAAAATGACTTGTGAATATTAGTGTTTGAAACTCAAAGGCAGTCAATACCCTCTCATGCAACTTAATATAGTTTTGTCTTAAGTAATATCAATCTACCAAATATTTAGAAAAGTCTAATTTTCGTCCACATTGAATATGAGATACCTTTAATGTTCTTTTATATCGTATGATTGATGTGCAAATATAGTTCCTACACAACTGTAAACTGGTCAAAGGAGTAACTCTTAAGCTTCTAGAATATCTTGTAGGATCAACCTCTTCTTATTTCATAGTGGAGAAAGTTTTCGAGAGAAAGATGAGTTAGGTGGTTTTGGAGGAGGGAATAGAAGTGATATGTTCGGGTTCGAATTCTCCCACTTAAGTTAAACACTGAATTGAAACATTGTATGGACTATCCCTAATTCAAATTGCATAAGAATTAATTGCCTTATCTAAGGTTAATTAGCTCCTTAGGCCTCAAGATTTTTGTGAAACTTTAACAAGACGAATTGGTAATCAAGCTTAGTGTCGTCATGGATGATTAGTCTAAAAGAGATTCTGATGAAGATCATGCTATATTAAATGGACAGGTCTAAGTATTCACAAAAGAAAGGAAAGGTCTAAGTATTCATAAAGAGAGGAAATGCCAAAGTCGGGGCCTCATTCAAGAGCAGAGTTTTCTTCTTCTAGGAAAGGTTCAAATTGGGAAAGCAAAATTTGCAGCAGATAATTGAAGAAGCTAAACTATGGCCATCTCTCATATTTGCCGAAATTAAGCGTAGATTTGTAGCTCTATTTGTGCCTTGTTTACTTCTTCTTTTTAGTTTATCTTTCATTACATTCTTTTACTGAACATATATATTAGTATAAATGATGTGATTTGGATGCATATTAGATAATGCTTTCAAAATTTGATTGGTTAATGAAAGAGTTCTATGACCATATATGCAAATAAGCCTTAGCGCATCTCACATAAGACTTGTTTCCTTTCGACAATTTCTTTCATTCATGTTAACCATATTTCTGGAAAAACTAAACCTGTCCTGATTATAGGGGCAACCCCTTGTTCCACTATTCTATTTATTCTTTATCAAGCTGACATTGGTTAATATTCTCATGAAAGCATGCCACTTTTACCTCAAAATCAAGGTTCAAAGCACTGATAGTGATACTGGGAAAATTAATTGACTTGTTCAACCACATTTGTGGATGCACATTACCTGTTCGTCCTTTGACTCCTTGAGTGTGATGGTGCTGAGAGGTCCATTTGCACTAAATGACACTTTCAAGGCAGAATATAGACTTTCATGCACCAAAGTCGTCGTCTCATTCATGATTCATGCTTCAGCTCTGTACTCTTCCAACATTTGGACATAGCAATTAGAATTTTCCTTTTCTAATCGATACCCCATCAATACTGATTAATCTGCCTTACCATCTTGTTTTCATTAATTAGACCTTGTAAACTAAATTTCAGAAAAAGCCAAAAAGCACACTATACATGAACTTGCCAAGTACATGCCATTCCCATTAGTTTCTGCCAGAAAAAATGTGGGAAGCCCTTTTAACTCGTCGGTTTTCAATTTTTATTTTTTTCTTTAAATATTATGCGGAATATTTATCCTTCCCTGATCTGTTTCTGTGCGCTTTTGCCTCCATAATGATGGTTGTTTTAGACTTTGGTTTTTTTCCAGCTAAGTAAACTCTTAAAAGTTTCTCAAAGAATCCCTTGGATGCTTGGGATGAGTCATAGATTAACAAGTTACTCGTTCAAGTCAGCAACAAAAACACATTTCTTATCTTCCAATTGATCTTCTTTTAATTCTCCGGTCCTTCTTTTCTACTACTAACAGTTATTGCTTGTTGCAAGAAATTATAAGTGTTAGTAGATTCTGACAGAAGATTAACCCCTGAACAGGAACTACTTCAAGTGTTCAAGTGGAGGATGCCATGTGAAGAAAAGGGTAGAAAGAGATAGAGATGACCCATCTTATGTGATAACAACATATGAAGGAGTTCACAACCATGAGAGTCCTTGTGTAGTCTACCATTTGCCTCCTATGATGCCAATGGGTGGATTCTCCTTACAAGAATCCTATACTCCTTCCTCTTCTTCATAGTTTGTTATATCTAGGAGCAAAAGATGATTTTCATAGAGAAGTTTGAATTATGTATGTTACTTTGATAGGTAATATTGTGAAGATGGGACTGATCTCCTGTTGCTGACTGAGCAGCATGTTAGCAAATTTGTGTATAAGAAGCCCAGGTTGTTTCTTATAGATATCTGATACAGTGAAAATATTATTATAGGTGAATAAGAAACATTTGACAACATTTGTTTACAACAAAACTCATGTGGCAGACATGCTTTGTGTTTCTTGCACCACCAGGTTATATACAAAATGGTTTGGCAACTTCAAACCTGTTTCATATATACCGGAACAACATAGTGGTTGGATTAATTGGCATACATGGAAGAGTTTAGATACTAGGCATAATTTTGGAAACCTCCCCTAAGTTTATTGAAAACTTCACTGAGCTCCATCAAAGTTTTAAATATTACACCTACCTCCCTTGATTTGGTAGTTTTAGTAACTAAAACTTAAAGTAACTTGATTTGGTTAAAAAATTTAAATGAGTACCTTCAATGTCCTCATAGATTAAAATTTCATTTGCTTTCCTAAATAATTGTAAAGTAATTTAGCATAATTATAAGGAACAGGTACTAAGTTTTCCAGTCCCCTATATATTGTACGATAGGCAACTATGACAATAATTCCATCAGTATTATAGGCTATTTTTGATGGTGCTTTATTAGGAATTTAGATTTCTAACATGGAGAAGAGAGTGTTGCCATAATTTTTTTCACACTTTCTGGATTTTTCATGTGGTGAAACTACCATAGTTTCGTAGTAGTTTTGGACCTCTCTTTTTGAGTTATTGTTGACTTTAATACCAAAAATACAAAAAGATCATCAAAAAAATTGGATCGCATTTGAAGTTAACTTGTCAAAAAGATCGTTAATGTAAATGATATTTAGATACAATAGATGCTCGGACCATTATTGGTAGCTGCATGATTTTGTTGGCAAAATATAAATAGGAGAAATTAGAAGGGGAAGAAAGAAAAAAAATATTAATCTTAAACTAGGTGTGCAAACGAGTCGAGTCAAGTCGAGTTTCTGCCTAATCGAGTCGAGCATCAAAATGTCAAACTCGAACTCGAGCTTAAAAAAATTTAAAAAATAATTATTTTATTTTTAAAAAATAAATAAAATAATATTTTTCTTAACAAATAATAAAATATTATGGATATATATAATTTTACTATTAAAATAAAAAGTAAGAAATATATATAATCGAGTTCGAGTCAGCTCGCGAGCTAACGAACTTAATATTTTTGAACTCGAGTCCGAGCTCGAGCGCTAACGAGTTTAGTATTTTTGAACTCGAGTCCCAGCTCGACCTCGGACTCGAGCCGCTCGTGATTCGATCACGAGCGGCTCGATTCATTTGCATCCCTATTTTAAACACATTCTTGATGTAAGCATTCCAATGAATAAAGGAGTTTCATTAAAATGTTAATACTACTATTGTCATTTCAAATGAAGTAGGAGGCGAGTATAATTTTTAAAAATTGTAGTACTTGGTAAAATTATCGAAAAGCTTAAGGGGAGTTTCTAAAGTTTCTAAAGTTATGAGTAAAATTATCAGAAAGCTTAAGGGAAGTTTCTAAAGTTATCCCTAAATACTGGTATGGAGCTTTCTTTTTCACTCTCAAAAGATAGACGGGGAAGGGTTGTATATATGGTCCAACTATGCACATTCACATTGAGCAGCAGCAACTGATGCTACCATTCTCCCACTTGGTCGATGACAGTTCACTGTAGTTTGCACTTTTCAACTCGAGATTTGTATTATTGTTGCGACAAGATTGATTTGAGCCAACCTAGTCTTAATAATAGCAGTATATAATGACGTAATTTCTGACATTAATGCACATTTTAATGAAATTAGGGTAAAAAACAAAAAAGCCCCCTGTGGTAAACCTAATACACAGAAAAGCCCCCCATGGTTTCAAAATATACAACACGACCCCTCATGCTTTGAACTAAATTGTAAAGGTGACGAAATCCGTTAAAGTTAACGGAAATGGACAAAATGACCAAAATACCCTGATATAATTAAGCAAAAGACAGCTCAAAAAGATTATTTGTTTTATTCTCTAAATAGAGAGAATTGAGGGTTAAGGGGTAGAATAGGTATATTTGATAAAAATTAAGTATAAAAATTTTTTTTTAGGTTCCAATAAGTCATTTCCGTTAAATTTAACGGATTCCGTCACCTTTACAATTTAGTTCAAAGCATGAGGTATCGTGTTGTATATTTTGAAACCATAGGGGGCTTTTCTGTGTATTAGACTTACCACAGGGGTTTTTTTGTTTTTTACCCATGAAATTATGATATTTTATTAAAAAAAATAATAGTATAGCGGAATCTTCCACGAGGCAACTTAATTTGGAGTCAAAATTTTGCAGTCAGAAACTTCTTTGCTATATTGGATGCCTTAATGACTCGTTGAATTGCATTATAGTGCTCTAGCTGGGATACTACGAGTGGGCTTGTTTGGATTAGAAAGCAGCAACTTCTTCCCCCATGCTGTCCGTAAAGTGCTTCTTTGTGAAAAAAATTTTAAAAAAAAAAAAAAAGATTAGGTATAAGTTGCTTTCTAAAGAAACATTGCACAATTCTTCGATTCGTAGCAGCATTTGCTTTACTTGTAAATGAGGCTCCACTAAATTTGGACCTTCTAGTGGACAATGATGGCAAAAGAAAAAAATAATAATTCGGATTTTTTAAAATTATCGGCACGATAGATTATATTCTATATTTATTCCTACACTATCCTAGGGGAAGGAGGGCCTAAAGATATCATGGTTCACCGGTCCAAATAGGTGCTTTCGCACCAACTGGCAAAATTTTTTTAAAAAAATTTGGATATTAGAATATAGGGTAAGGGATTTGACCTTTTAACATACATCCAAATAAAGTTTTAAAACTCTCTTGATGGCCAACTGAATAGTTAGTTAATAATTCGGATTCAAAGTTGACCAATTTTTTGCCATCATTGTCTCAAAGCTCAATGAAGGTTTTTGAAGTTATCCCTAAATACTAATAATATGGCACTTTCTTTTATTGAGAGAGGGTTTGTATATATGGTCCAACTATGCACGCGTTAAGCAGCACTTGGCCAATGGCAATAAACAGTAGTTTGCAGTTTTCAACTTGAGATTAGTATTGTTCCGACAAGTAAGATTTGAGCTAGCCTAATCTTAATTAATAGTACGGCGGAAACCTCCATTCGAGGGATCACGGGTCACTAGTGGTGGCGGCAGCGAACAGTGTGAAAATTGACATAACAGATGTAGGTATTAAAACAATAAATATGGTTATTAATAAAATAGTATATAAAAACACAACTAATTTTTGAACGCAAATTTTAATAAGAAAAAAGAAATTTTTGAACACGACAATTTATTATTATTAATTTTGTCAATCATCACTTTCTACACTGCTCTTACTCCTAATCATACGCTACCCTATATAAGGGAGGGTCCAATTGGATCAGGAGAAATCGATGGAGACTGATTCACCATTGAATCAGATAGATGCGCTACACATCCGATTGGATTTAGAGAAGTCACGTATTAGTCACAATTTCATTTGGAGTTAGGATTTTGCAGTCAGAAACTTCCTTGCTATGTTGGCTGCCCCTAAAGGCTCGTTGAATTGTATTATAGTGCTTTAGCTGGGATAATGTAAGTGAACTTGTTTGGATTAGGGGGCAGCAACTTCTTCTCCTATGTTGCTTGTAAAGTGCCTTTTTTCTTCAAAAAAAAAAATTAGGTAAAAGTTGTTTCTTAGAGATACATTGTGCAATTCTTCGATTCATAGCAGCGTTTGCCTACTTGTAAACGAGGCCCCACTAAATTTGGACCTTCTAGTGGACAGCAAAAGAATAATAATTCCGATTCAAAGTTGGCCAGTTTTTTGAGTAACCAAAAGTCTGGGCATGTGTTTTCTAGTTTGAAACAAAAATGTGTCATTTTCCTAAAGAACGTTTTTTTTTTTTTTTTTAAACCCTTTTCACTACTCCTCACACATTTCCCATCCTCAACTGTCAGAAGACTCTAAAAGCCCTTTTCTGACTACTAGATCGATCCTCAACTGCCCAGCCTTCTAAGGCTTGGTGGTGTTGGGAAGTCAAGCGTTCGACCCTTGCCTTCCATCAAAATTGTCATACACCAAAATTGTCATAATATGTGACAGTTTTCGTTGACCATTTTCGATGGAGTTTCTATTCACATCGAATCCCCTCCCCCTCTCCCTAGATTAAACTAGTTTAGATTATAGGAATCCTATCGTTACGACCAAAAAAAAAAAAAAAGACTACTGGATCGATCTTGAATGAATGGAACGCATTGAGTGTTATCAAACTAAAATTCAGTTTGTGCTATTTAATAGTACTGGCCAACAATTAGTTTGATTGTCCTACTGTAGCATCACAGGTCCTATCACTTTGAAAATGTCTAAAAAACAAGGGGTAAATATACCTACGATTTGGTTAGGGAAATAGAATAAAACTTGGTTTATGAGGATTGATGGTTGAGAATTTTTTTATAATTCATGAAAATAAATCATTTATCATTTGTAGGAGGAATATATAGAGTATTTCATTACTATGAGTATGGATTATTGAAGTGTCTGTAATTTTTCTTTTTCTTTATCTTCATTATGTTATGTTGATTGGTTCAAACTTAAGATTCATCAGTTGAAGCAGTCTAATACAATCCAAGTCAAATACATTGTCAAAGTCGTTTGAATTTTCATTTTCTTTACATCAAAGCCAAGTAAATTAGGGTTCATTACTACCTCCGTGAGCTGACATTCATTTATACACCATTGGGACTGACTAATAAATGTTGGATAAATGCAAAATTGCAAATTAAGAGATCAAAACAAGTATGTGTTGGATCTTGATGTGGCTTATTAATTGTAAGCTGGAATATCATCTAAGTACTTTTTTATTTTACTGTCTTATCTTGATGGATTTGCTATATATAAGCTATTTATTTTCATAATAAGTCTCTATAGATCTACAAAAAACACATAAAAATTGTACTTTAAAGCTCTAAAAAGTATTTATTTCGATAGAGGAATTTGTCCTCTAATTTGTCATTATTTTTTTTAATAGAGGAATTTGTCCTCTAATTTGGTGTTGCTCTAAAAAGGAAAAAGTATACTTTTGCTGTGATTTTTGTGACATTCATTTATACACCATTGGATCTC